CTGACTGTGCTCTCTCTCTCTCAAAAATAAACATTAAAAAAATTTTTTTTCAATTTATAAACTCATTCTAGACTGCATCAGAAAAGATACAGAAAAGGCTTATCAGTCTATTTATCCACTCCGTGAGGTCTTTGTTAGAAAAGTAAAAATGCTGAGGAAGCCCACATCTGAATTAGGAAAACTCCTGCAGATTCATGGTGAAGGCAGTAGTTCTGGAAAAACTACTGGGGATGAAACCAGTGCTAAACTTGAACGAGCTGATGGATAGGAGCCACCAGTCTGAGAATCTGTTTAAAATTCAGACATTTAATGCTGACAAATAAAAAATCTTATTTGTGATGTTTCATTTCTTTTTTAATGTTTATTTATTTTTGAGACAGAGAGAGACAGATCATGAACGGGGAAGGGTCAGAGAGAGAGGGAGATACAGAATCTGAAACAGGCTTCAGGCTCTGAGCTGTCAGCACAGAGCCTGACGCGGGGCTCGAACTCACAGACCATGAGATCATGACCTGAGCCAGCGTCAGAAGCTCAACCAACTGAGCCACCCAGCCACCCCAAAGATGTTTAATTTCTGATTGTCCTTTTTAAATCATCTAAACTTGGTGAATTAGATGTTCTAAACTGGTGGTGATGTGAAGTTTTCTGAATTGGCGTATGGATTTTACCCATTGCTCTTAGTTAATAAATAGCTGTGAATTGGAAGTGATTTGTTAAGCTGCAGTGATCTGGACTAGAAGTGTTATATAGGTGGTTAATAAAAGGAAATCTTTTCTGGGGCACCTGGGTGGCTCAGTCGGTTCAGCGGCCAGCTTCCGCTTAGATCATGATCTCACAGTTCATGGGTTCAAGCCCCAAGTCGGGCTCCGTGTTGACAGTTCAGAGCCTGGAACCTGCTTCAGGTTCTGTGTCTCCTTCTCTCTCTGCCCCTTCCCTGCTCACACTCTGTCTCTTTCTCTCTCTCAAAAATAAACAAACGTTTAAAAAAAAATTTTTTTAAGGAAATCTTTAAAAAAAAGAAAAAAGGAAGAAAGAAAAGAAAAAAATACGAATCCCAAGTCAGTTATAACTAGTCAAAACATAGGTCAAAAAAGGATTTGACAGAAACTATTTACTTAGGTGCAGTACTGAGGAACACATTTATAAGCAGCATATAAAGGTATAAAAATCCTTTCAGCACCAAACATCAACACATGGCTGATTAGAAAAGCCCCAATCACTACTTCGTGCTGAGAGCCTACTGTTTACTCTCCTAGCTGCATGTTTTCCCTTCTGGCTCACATCCTATCCTGCCCCCACCTCCAGGACTCATCACTCGCAGCGGGGTCTGTGGTAATTCCTGATTCTGTGCTGGAACCAGAGGAAGCGAGCGGATCAGCACCAGACAGGGAGGGCCAATCACACGCTGCAGTGAACAGGCCAACCACGCAGATTCCAAAAACTGATGGGCTAATAGTGCGGCTTTTCACTCATCTTTAACAATTTTTTTTTCCACCAACGCATCTATCACCTATTGCCATTTTTCACCATGGTTAGACAATATATGGTTACTTTGGAGACTGGACATCAAAATAACTTAAGCCTGTGCTGGGGTGATAGGTCTATAGATGTTTTTCTTTTTCCATCACTTCCCTGCACCCCCCCCCCAAGTATTTTCCAGTATGTACTGCTTTTGAGGCCATAAAAAGGGAAAAGTCATTTACAAGAGAATAGACACCGGCCTCTCAGGGTCTACAGGATATTTCAGTTAACAGGCAAGTCAATTTCTCCAGCCTCATTTACATTCTTCACCACAATCTACAATCCAGATACATAGGTCTCTCCGTTCCCACACTGGACTTGGGTCGAACATCCCTCCCTCATCTCTAAGGGGTCTGTGAAGCCTTCCCCAGCTCGCTCTGACATTCCTCACTCAGCTCCCTGCGCCCCTGCTCCCTGTTAGAGCTACCTGCCCAGTACTGCAATTACTCATGGGAGATACCAATTATTTAGCACTGGGCACAACTACAGCAATAACCAAATGAATGAATACACACAAGGGACATGGAACACGGACTATGTCTTTACACAAGTCCAATCCATTTGCTAACATGCCATCACCATAACCTTATACACAAAGGGCGGGGGGGTGGGGGTGGGGGTGGGGGCCGAGGGAGAAAGATTAATGTTCTCCAGCCCAAGCCCCTGCTCAGTGTTGAAAGCAAAGGCTTCCTTATGGGAGAGCAGAGTTATCTCCCTTGGCACATCTTCTAGGTCTCAAGGCTTCTTAAATAAACCAAGCTACCCTACTTCACCTTAAAAATAACAGTAATAAGGCTCTTAAGACACATGGGTAATCATGACCTAATAATGTCATACTTAGATTATGAACTAAGATCAACATAAGACGTCCTATATGTACGTCCTCTGTGTACAAACACATTCAGGACACCTAAGGAGTCTGGACAAATGACAAGCAGTCAAAGATACGGGTTCAAGATTCTAGACATATACATAAAACGAATAAAAATTTTAATTCATTAACTAATAAAACTTTGGTCCAGTAAGATGAAGATCCCAGGAAGGTAGGTGCATGCTATCCTTGGCCCAACCAGACCTTCCTTTGAACAACAGGGAGTGTACCAAAAATGAAAGTGATGGGAACAGAACCACCCACCGGGGCTGTGCGCTCCTTTCTGGAATGCAAAGGCTGATGGAGAAAATGCCTGGATGGACACCTGAGGAAGACTGGAAGGGGCCCATGGAAAAAAAAACCAAGTAAGTTTGTGTATCAGGAGAGCAGAGTAACCACAAAGCCCCTCCAAGAGCACAGAGCACCCGGCCAGGGGGCCAGGCCAGCCTCTGAGAAGGGAGGCAGTCACTGGAAGAGGATCTGTAAATCAGGCATTGTTCCAGACAAAAGCTGCTAGCCCAGAGCCACAACTACTGGGAGGGAACTACTGTCATGTTATCCCCCGAGGCCCCAGACTCAGACATAGAGATTAGCCTTATCTGCACTTTCCACACCTCCTGGGTCAACAAATCTGGGAAGCCAAGTTCACATAAATGTAATTTTCGCACATGATTTCCAGTTGAGAGGTGTTGGCTATGACCCAGGCAAATGAAAGAATTCACTTCTGACAAGCCAGAGTAAGAGGTATAGTGAAAGGTTAGGGAGAAGAGTGGCATCTACGTTCTCAAGCTCCCCAGCCAAGCGGGCGTCCCCAGAGCTGGAGACCAGTATCTTTAAATCTACCTAAGAACACCGGGACACCTACTGATCAGATAAGGGCATCTGAAGATCACGACTAGAACTCCAGGAGAAAAAAGGTGGCAAAGCTTTATGATGCAGTAAAACCTCTGCTGCCAGAGGCCACATCTTGGGCAAAAGTCCAGAGTGGCCCTGCAAGAGGAAGAAAGAGAGGAAAGGGAAGGTCCTGGATAACCAGGCCACTCCCTGAGGAAAAAATGTGAAGTGACCAGTGATGGGTGTCTTAATACTGAAAATACAAGAACTGAATCCAGAGTCACAAGCGCCGTGATTGATCAGCTCATTTACTAGAAAGGAAGAGAAGAAAGCCATCAGTGTGGTGTAATCAGATGAGTTCAGAAACTTGGGTTCTGGTCCCTACCAAAATCTAGACTTACGAACTCCGATAAAAGGGCCTCAGCCTAAAATAGAGAGAGAGGACTGGTCAAGCCCTAAAATGCTATGATGCCATCAGCAAAGGTGGCTGCAGAGAGGACTCTGGATGGAGGGAATCCATCCACAGGGCAAAAAGCACAATGAAGCCCACAGAGCTCTGTTACGCTAGGGGTTGAAAACCCACCAGTCACCTTCCGGCCAGTGGCTACCAAAGCCATCGGCATGACCATGGCAGTCACAGCCACCACCACAACTTAAAAGTGAGAAAGCCAGGTGGGTCCCTGCCATGCTAGAAGCAGGTACACCTGCCACTCTGATACAACATCTGCTCTTTAAACAGCTGACGGCTCCCACCGATGCCCAAAGGGCCGGAAGGAAGGTTCTGTGCCTAGGAAAAGTCTACTGTCTGCTGACAAGACTCCCATTTTAAAAAGACGAAAACAATGCCTGGCATGTAAATGTATGTGAGTTAAATATTTGTTTTCCTAGAAACTGTTCAGAAGAACCAATTAATTCTCTGTGGACCGTGTGACGATTATTCTGTGTACAACCTGAGAATGAGCAACCTGGGGGAGAGAGGAGTTAAATCAAAGATTCCCGAGGCAAGGTGCCTAGGATTTATAGTCTAAACTAGGAAGTTTAAGAAAGTTGAAGGTACCAGGGAAAACAGAACCCAGGAAAAACTGGGAGAGGACGTTTGACAAGTAAAAAAGGTGGAAAAGAAGAATTATGGTTTGCCTCCTGTTGGGAAGGAGCCTCTGAGAATAAATGATCCTAACTAAGAATTAAAAATAATGAGAGGAAGAATCTGTAGCACTAACTAAAAGCATATTCTTTCCAGACTCTGGTCATAAAAATGTTAAGAACTCTCCATTTCTTTCGTGGGAGCCTCCTTCTATGCTTGTCCCTTAACTATGCTTAGGGCTCTGTCCAGGGCCCCCTTCCCTTATCCACTCCCGCTCAGGCTTCGAGCACCACCTATAGACAGACAATCCCCACCCCTCTCTGTGGACCCATATGCCTCCACCTGGCCGTCTCAGGAGGCCTGAACCCATTCTGGCCACCTTGGTCCTCTGTTCTGCCATACCTACCTTCCAATGGGCTCCTTCTCTGGTCCCCACCACCATCGAGCACACATTTTTTAAGCCAAAAAAAAAAAAAAAAAAAAAAAAACTCGGTAACTGTGGGCTGGATAAATAAAGGATATTAAACGATGTAGGAGACAGAGATGAAATCTGTTTCTAACCAAGGTCGGAGAGAACTACCTTCACGTCCTGCTTCAAGGAACCTGCTTTGGTCCACCTGGAAGAGCTGTGAGGTTGGGTCACAAAAGACAACTCTCTGGACCCAGAAAACAGGAAGAGTCGGCCCTTACCTTGGAGTCGTAGGCTGACTGCTTAATGACTTCAGGCGCCATCCAGAAGGGGGTGCCCACGAAGGTGTTTCTTTTGATCTGGGTATCTGTCAGCTGCCCTGCCACCCCGAAATCGGCCAGCTTCACCTCTCCGTGTTCAGAGAGCAGAACGTTGGCAGCTGCAAAAACAGACCCCAAGACACCTCCTGACGCTCTGTGCTGCTCGGCTTCACCCGTTAGTGCTTCCGGAACACGTACAGTCTCTTGTCTTCGAGATCTCGTGCTCAATGCGGGCAGGATCGGTGAGATCCCCCTCAAAGCCGCCCCACCCCACCCCACCCCAGGCAGGTTGAAGGCACTCCTTGAACACGTGCAGGACAACCTCCCTTTGAGAAGAAGTACAAGCTTCCCCTGTACTGGGCCTTTCCACCCACCTTAGGATTTCAGAGGCATGGAAAGCAACATGTTTTCTTACCTTTAATATCTCTATGAATTTTCTTCTCCGAATGCAAATAATCAAGTCCTTTCAGTATTTCTCTTAATATAGTAGCAATCTGAGTTTCATCTAAAGGGCCAGGTTCTAACTAGTAAAAAAAAGAGTTATTAAAGTTACTCAAATGATCATTTTAGGAGAAGTTTGAGATGATCAAACACAGTCAATACCCATGTTAAATGAACAATATTCAAATCTAAAAACATCTTCACTCCAGGGGTGCCTAGGTGGCTCAGCCGGTTAAGTGTCCAACTCTTGGTTTTGACTCAGGTCATGACCTCATGGTTTGTGGGTTCGAGTCCCGCGTCGGGCTCTGTGCAGGCAACTGGGAACCTACTTGGGATTCTCTGTCTCCCTCTCTCTCTGCCCCTCCCCTGCTCTCTCAAAATAAGTAAATAAACGTTTTTTAAAAAATCAAATAAAAATTTCTTCACTCCAAATAGCCATTTTGCCTGAACAATTAAAACCTATTTAAAAGACCCCTCCCCCAAAAAGTAAAGAAAGCAGCAAAGAAAAAAAGAGTTTGCCAATTAAAGCAAATCTGGCTAAGAATCGAAGCAGGGCCAGCGAGAAAGCCTGTGGTCAGCCCAGTCGTGCCAACAAGCTAAGCTTGGGAGGGACTTCAGTCCAGAGACCAAAGCCTGGGAGCTCACAGTTAGGGTATCCCATCCTAACACATACCATGGTCATCACCACGCCCGTGGTTGTGGCCTGGGGGCCGACTGCCGTCTGAGGCTACACATGCACCAGAACTTTCCAAATCTGAAGTTTTTTTAAATGTGTATTTATTTTTGAGAGAGAGAGAGATCAAGCATGAGCGGGGAAGAGGCAGAGAAAGGGAGACACACAGAACCTGAATCAGGCTTCAGGCTCTGGGCTGTCAGCACTGAGGCCAGCGTGGGGCTTGAACTCACACACCTTGAGATAATGACCTGAGCCGAAGTCAGACACTTAACCAACTGAGCCACAGAGGCGAGGCGCCCCTCCAATCTGAATTTTAAGACCTGGGGGAAGAGAGCTGAAAAGGGCTCAATTCCAGTGATGTGGGATATTTTTTTGGGGGGGTCACATAATAAATATATTAGTCTATTATCCCAAATAAGATATAATCGCCTCTGAAAACCTTTACTGTGAGAAACTCAAAAGAATTAATACTGACGCCTTAAAATTATAATTGTATGAAGATGTAAGGAAGAAATGCCAAATTCATATATCCTCTGTTAAAAGGGAAAATTAGGTTCTAGAGTGCAGCTCAGACAAGGTAGACAGTCCACCATTACTTCAGAGCAGGGAATTCAACCACACCTAATAGTTCCACAAATCAGCACAACAATCTAACACTCCCTACAGGACCAATAATGGTGCCATCAGAGAGAGGGACAGAATTCTCATGATTTATGTTAATTTTTTATCCATATGATAATCCTCAGAATCACATTTTAGATCTGACAGGGATGCTATCATCACCCAAATCCTCACACTTCGTGGAAGGAAGCCACCACCCCGTGACCTTCCCTGCATAAATTTTAAAAAGACAGATGAGCTATACAAGATCAGACCTGTAAATACAAAGAACAAAGTAGTGACTGCCGGAGGAGGGAAGTGCTGGGCAAGACGGTGAAGGGGCAAGGGAGGGACAGGATTCCAGGTGTGGAATGAATGTATGCCACAAGGATAAAAGCCACGGTGCAGGGAACGCACTCAGTGGTGTTGCAACAGTGATGTACTTTGCCAGATGATGGCCACACGTGCGGGGAGTACAGCATATGGAACACGCTGGTCAAATCGCTATGATGTACGCCTGAAACTAACGTAACATCGTGTGTCAACTACACTCAAAAAAACAAAACCAAAAACAAAAACAGTGGGGCGCCTGGGTGGTTCAGTCAGTTGAGGGTCTGATTCTTGATTTCGGCTCAGGTCGTGAGCTCAGGGTTCGTGGGATCAAGCCCTGTGTTGGGGTCTGTGCTGACAGCATGGAGCCTGCTTGGAACAGTGTCTCTCTCTCTCTCTCTCTCTCTCTCTCTCTCTCTCTCTCTCTCTCCCTCCCTCCCTCCCTCTCTCTCCCTCCCTCAAAATAAATAACCTTAAAAATAACAAAAAACTAAAAAAAGGTGAAGGAATTCTAAAGCTGACAGATTCACTCAAAAAAAAAAAAAAAAAAAAAAAAGGCACAGAGAGGAAGAGATGTGCTTTAATCCAAAGGGAAGGGCAGCTAAGACCCTCTCTAGAGCAGCATTCCAACAGACACACGTACCCTTTCTCAGACAGGCCTACTTGTGTGTCTCAGGGCCTTTGCCAGATGATGGTGACCGAACAGCTGTTAGATGGCACCCAAGATGGGGGCAAGCGAGGCTCCCCATTTCCCTTCATGACGGCTGGACTCCCACTGGCGCTGCTTTCCAGCCATTGGGCGAGCTGGGCCGCCCCTGCTGCAGGCCCCGCTGGGGGCTCCGGGAACCCCCCTTGTGTGCATGAAAGAGGGAAGGTGGGGGGCAGCCGGGCTGCCTCTCCTAACCCGCGGGCCTCAGGGGACTCTGGCAGTGGCAGCCGAGTGCCGGGACCGAGCCGTCCCCCTCGGCAGTCCCCCGTGCACAATGCACGAGCAGGACGACGCGCCGGTCGCTCTGGTCCTACCACGTGTCACACGCTCGGAGGTCACACTCGTGGGTCAACTAACCTGCCAAGGAGGATCCCAATCTCCTTTTTTTATTTTATTTTCCTTTATTTTGAGACAGTGAGTGAGAGTGAGGGAGGGGCAGAGAGAGAGAATCCCAAGCCGGCTCTGCACTGTTAAGCACAGAGTCTGATGTGGGGCTCAATCTCAGGACCATGAGAACATGACCTGAGCCTAAATCAAGAGTCAGCGGCTTAAGAGACCGAGCCACCGAGGTGCCCCCAATTTCTAATTACGATTGCCAAAGATTACCTCAGACGAAGGTAGCATGCTGCATACTTTGTTCCATGGAACCTAATTTCCCCCCACAATTATCTGGCCAAGAGTCTTATTTTCAAGAAATACACATCAGAACTACTGTTCCAAAGAACACAATCTGAAAACCCTGCCTGGTCTGTCTTCTCCACATATATTTGAGTCTTCACGGGTCAGAGACATTTTTAAGACTCAAAAAGAGGAAAAGGCACTTTTCTGGTAACCCGGGAGAACAGGGCAGGGAAGGCAGGGCTGCTGGCCCGAATGCACCGGAATGCACAAGGGTAACCCAGTCCTGCAAAACCCCACCTCAGAGCATGGGTTCCATTCCCTCCTCCCGCAGGTATCTACCCAAGCAGGTAATCAGTAACATTTGGTGCCACTTGGAGGTAACCACCACCTCCCTTCTGTTATCAAGTCTCAGGAAAGAAACAGCAAAGCCGCCTGGTGTCACCACCAAGGGGAGATAAGAAGAACAGAGATTTCTTATTTAATTTCTAATTTAAAAATCTTCCCCTGAATCATTAGGAGCTGGCTCTCTGATTAATGTGTGTCTGGCCATGCCCTTTTAAATCTGACCTAAACACTACCCACCAATGATTTATATGCCATGGGCGGGGGGCAGTGGGGGAAGGGGACAAAGAGAGACAGTCTATTTACAGGGAGAGGATCGATGGATGGTGTCAAAGTTCGCTGTAAAAGGTATTCGGCTGTTCTCTGCACCAGAGTTCTTCACTGGTGGGGAAGACCCGGCTAAGTTCTCAGAGTCCTAGATTAGCATCCTCCACCATTAACGTGTCCAAGTAATATAAACAAGGTGCTCTCTCTCATTAGGAGGACTGCGCACTCTGCACATAATCTTTATAAAAGAAAGACTCCCAGGAAAAAACTCTGGGAGTCTCATCTCTGGGTGACTTTGAACTCCCTCTCCCCCAGGTCTGTTCTCCCCTCTCCACTCTAACAGAGACGATTTGCCAGGCACACGGCCACCCAACAAGGCCACATGTGCCAGCTCCTGCAGCAGCTCAGCAGGCTTGGCCGGGTGACTAAGTTCTCACCCGTGGAATATGCACAGAAGCGACTGCCCCTTCCTGGTCTTGGCCCTGAAAACACTGGCAGCCAGAGAAGACAGTGACCGAAGACACAGGAAGCCATGGGTAACAGATGGCAGAGCTACCCTCCAGGGCAGGGCCCCGATGACCATGTGGACTGGAGCCCAGTGACCCCACATGTGGGATGGAAAGAGAGTTGACCCCTGAACAAAGTAGGGGTTTAGGGGCACCGGCCCCGGCATAATTGAAAATCGGCATACAGCTTTGGCCTGGAAGCCAAATACTGTTGCCTGGAAGCCTTAATAATAACATACAGTCTCTTAACACACATTTTGTATGTTCTGTGTATCATGTGCTGTATTCTTACAATAAAATAAGCCAGAGAAAATGGTAGTAAAAAAATCGTAAGGAAGAGGAAACACATTTACAGTACTGTCCTGTCTAGGAAGAAAAATCGGCATGTAAGTGGACATGTGCAGTTAAAACCCATGTTGTTAAAAGGTCAACTGTACTTTTCTCTCTTGTGTGAGATGCTGTTTGGGGACCACTACAACAGCAGCTCGGCCTAACACTAATGAATACACCATCTGATCGTTTAAAACCATGTTGCATGGGGTGCCTGGGTGGCTCAATCAGTCGAGGGTCCGACTTCAGCTCAGGACAGGATCTCACGGTTCATGGGTTCGAGCCCCGCATCAGGCTCTCTGCTGTCTGCACAGAGTCTGCTTAGGATCCTCTGTCCCCACCTCTCCCTGCCCCACCCCTGCTCGCGCTCACTCACAAATAAATATTTAAAAAATTAAAGTAAAATAAAATCATGTTGCATATTCATTTTTAAGTTTGTCAAACATCTCTGCCTGATTGAGTGACTACTTTGTGGAGCACAGTTCCTTCTTCATTAGACTCCAAGCGCATCCCTGATGCTCTCCTGTAGCACAGACTGACCTAACCACCTACAGATCTTCTGGGCTCTGGCCATCCGGACCTAATCCTCACACCAATCCTCCCAATCCACCCGAGCTGGCTTTCTTCCCCTGATGGCACTTTCCCACGTACAATATAACAAGCCATCTTCTCCCATTAGAACACGGCTCGTGCCAGTGGGAC